CTACCCCTCTAAACCCGACGACAAGCGAGCCAGAGGCGAAAATCCCGTCCGCCGTCTAGACGGTCAATCACAGTTTCCGCAATAACTCGGGGTAGAAACATCGGATCTTCAAAAACTCAACGCCAAATGAAAGATCAGGTCATTTTCTATAAACGCCTCGCTTACATCACCCCTGTAAACCTAACGGCTAGCGAGCTAGGGGCCGAAAACCGCGCGCCGCCCTATGCCCGCAGGCGGCCGGCCGGCCGGGTAGCCTGGGAGGTAGGCAATCGTGCGTTCGGCTCCGCGGGGACAGCTTACGGCGCGGGTTTGAGGCGCTCAGCGCCTGGAGTGCCGCCACCTCCCCTATATCCACCTTGTCTCAAATCGAAAAGTGTCAGAGGAACTACCCCCCCAAAACCGCTCATTTAGAGTCAGAACATCACTTAATATTTGTACAAAAGTAGAAATTTGTATTTTGTGAAATTACACGCTTTTATAGGGAGTTTCGGCACATGACTCTCAGGAAAAAATTTGGTCGGCATTCGTCACCTACATAGATAAGAAGCAAATAAACCGAGTTTGGGCACGATCGGGAATTTACACTTGCCTAAGTCCCCTTGTTAGTGATGCTTTCCAATCGCAAAGCGAATCTTTGCATCCTGTAGAGGCATTGTTGGAATTGTTTTTCTCTAAAGGTTTCCGGTAAACCTGCACTTTTCAAATCCTGCAAAGCGACGCTTTGCAGACCTGCGAAGTATTAAGATTCTTTGTAATTACGAATCATTTACTTTGCAATTACTTTGTGATGTTTTACAATTAATTCGAAATTGCGAAGCAAACAAACACGCTAAAAAGCGTCGCTTCACAATTGCAAATCATCACTTTGTAACTGCAAAGAAAATGCTTCGTAGTTACAAAGGATCTAAATACTTAGCAGTTCTGCAAAGCCGTGCTTTAAAGGAATTTAACAACGTCAAATGCTGAAGCAAGCGAGAAAGAGGAAACGAAAATGGCTATGTTTTAACATTGTGACTTCCGTTCTTTGGAATGCTTCTGCATTTCAGCTTAACCGGAATGCTTTATTGAAAAGCATCGTTTTTTAAGTATTGCAAAGGATCTAAATCCTTCGCAGTACTGCAAAGTATTGCTTTGGAGGAATTCAACAGCGAGTACCGGACTGGTGCGGGCCAGAAGAGCCAGAGGTCTGTCCGATTGAAATTGCAATCCCTCGGACCGCTTCGGCCGAGAGTGACTAGGTGAAAGGCTCGCAAGCAGCGCAAGGTTCAGGTGCGAGGGCTGAAGAACTCCTTCGCTAAGTGTACACCCCTAATTCTACCTTATTCAAACTGCTTCAAACCACTTCAATTTATTTCAAAACATTTCAAGAATAATTCACACCAAATGAGTAACAATTCAGTCCAATGCAAGCAAATCCACATTCAATTTGAGAAAGCTCACGCCGGCTCACGCTAATTCATGCTTTAAATACTGGTACTGCTACAACGCCTCCTGTGGAATCCCGATTAGTGGGTCAAAAGACAATTGTCGAGGGCTCATTGGTTATGGCGGAAAATGTCTCGGGTGAAATGTAGTAGGGAAAACGTCCGGCGGCTCCCAGCGTGTAAAATGTGCCTTAAGAAGTGCCCGGCAAATATTTTTAAAAAATAGCACTTATTGCGTCCGTTGTTTTCGACTATATTCAGAGGCCGTTTTATGACATAGAATCTCTTACTTCGGTCTAGCTTCTACTGACAAAAAACCACCCTCAAATTATCATATTGCAAGCTTAGTTTATTTGTAAATTATCGTTTATTAAGGTATAAAAACAGAATGGTACTTCTTCGGTCTGTGTTGAGTACTAGGCTTTGTTATCACTTGTCGAACTCGTGAAATAGTTTGTGTATGCTTGTATGAGAGATTTCATTAAAATTGGCCTCACTGCAGTGAATCTAGTAATGCTGCTGAACTCTTTTGAGCACAAGACCACGTTTGTTACAAATTTTGATGTCTCTGTATCTTAGCCAGCTGGAGCGATAACTGTGCCCCGTTTCCTGCGTTTTCCAGTTTGCGGTTTCTGCCAGCTTAGCCCTCGTGTCTGTTGTGACGTTCGATTTTTTTAAGACAGCGAATACTTCGTCTCTTACAATTATCTTTGGCGCCTACTCAAGCATATTCGCGGAACTTCTTCTGTGGAAACGCTGGAAACATCTTGGAATGTGCCTTAGTACGCTCAGCGACATTGTTGGTGCAGTCGAAGACAATGTTAATCCCGACTTGTGGGTAAGGCTGTTACTGGCGTTGTTACTGTTTCCTGCAACACATTGTCCTATATCATGTGTTATTACTATTACAGGGTTAAAATAAATATTCATGATTATTTTTTTTTGTATTAACATCGCGCAGCATCGAGAAATGGTGGCAGTTTTGGTCATATCGGGTCATATGCCGTGCAGGTTGAAAGATGCGGACGGATAACGAGCGCACCCACC